AATTACTAAGTTAGTTGCTAAGTAGGTTAGAAAATTAGGCAATAAATTAAACTGCATGTTAATGGAAAAACCCCTCTGAGTAATTGACATTTGAGTGTGGATAACCATGATTTAATCTTTGCAGATGAAAATACCTTTTAAAAGTATTTATTTATCTAATGGCTTTCTTTGGTGGAATGTGGAAGGAATATATTTCTTGAGTGGAGAAACATTTCTCTACCTTATGCCTCCTCCCAGTAGGATCTTTCTCCTATATACCCTCTTAGGATAGAGAATCATGCCTCCTGGTTCTGAGAGGGTAAGAGAGAGCCAGGGCAGGCTGTGAGTGGTGGAGTGACATTAGGGGGAGAGGAACATGTAATCTTCATTATCGGCAGCACTGTATTAGGCACAGTTTGGAAAGTTCGACAGTGAATGCAGGCTCTCTGCAAGTATTTAACCTAAGGCTAGCCTATTATACCTACTAGACTCTCTGAATTGGGAAGAAATTAACATCAAAAGGCACCAAATTTCTCTGAACCCCAAATCACATCATTTGGTGTACAGAAGAGGGGACTGATAGAGAATATTTCAAATGTGGAATTTTCCTGGGATCTTGTCCCAAACTTCTTTTCAAAGTGTTAAGTCCTAAGTGTGTAAAACAATAAAATAGTTCTGGGAGTAGGAATAAAGCAAAACACTAGGGATATGACACAATGAAACAGGAATATAATTATCATGTACTTGAAGACTGGATAGTAGAAAAGAATACTTGAGTTGCAGGCTATGAGAAATCATCCCTATTCCCTCCAGTCCTGCTGAAATGAATCCTCGACATTTCTTAAGGACTTAGACTTGCTATCTCTGAACAGCTCTAATGGAAAACTTTCATCTGTGGTCTGCAGCATGCAGTCACTCATTGATGCCCATCTGCACCCCAGCATTGTTGTCCATATTGATTTTCTCCAACTATAGAGTTATACTTTGGGAATCAATATGCCTCTCCCTCTCCAGTCCCTTAGTGGGTGGCCAAGGTATGCAGAATCACTTTAACAACAGCATAAGGCAAATATGATTAGGAAGGTAACTCCAGAGCAAGAAATTTTTTAAATACAGTACTAAATTGAGAAGAGACTATTTATAAATTTAGTTCTCATTTAGAATAGTGACTCTCCACGCTGGAACACCAAATCAACTTCAAGTAATAAATATTTTACAATTCTTCCTGTACCATTCTGAACTGCAAACTACAGATAATGTTACTTTCTTACACACTGAACTTTTTAAAACTTCAGTCTCCCTGAGTGTGGAGAAGAAATAAAAGAAAATGCATTTCTAATACAAATAATATTTAAATGTGTGAATACTGGGACATTATGAGACATACTGAAGTCATCACAAACTCCTACCATCACCTGTACACCTGCTATGACACAGTTGCTACAAATGCACTCACACAGGTGTCCTGTTTGAAGTTCCAAGACCATGTGTTATGCTGCTGTTGATGATATGGTTTTTCAAAATAATGACTAACTCGGTAAACTCCCAAAAAAACAAACTACAACTGTCCCTCAGTTTATGCAGTTGGTACAGTCCTGGACAAGTTGATGCATATAAAATCATGCAAAAAAAAAAAAAAGAACAACTTGGTGTTAATATGTAAAATGGAGATAGATTCAGGCTCAAAAATTAAAAACAGGTTTTTATTTACATGAATTTCCACTGGGGCCTTCAGAAGTCATGGAAAGCATAGAACAGTGCCTCATTCTGTGGATGGTCCCACACAATGCAGGTTGTCTGACAGCGCAGGCACCTGCCTGCCTAATGCCTCAAGGGCCCACATCATCATGAGAACCATAAATATGTCCACAGATTTCCAAAATTCCCTCTAGGAGGCAGTACCATCTTTGTTGAGAACTACGAGTTTGCAGTATTTTCTATAGGGCTTCTTCCATTGACTCAAATGAGTAAGAACTAATTCCAGCTGTGAAACCAAACAATGACAGCATTAGAAGGGTCCCTGAAGCTTAGCTAACTGGCCCATCATTTTACCCACGTGAGGTAAGTAACTTGCTTTTGCACTCAGTTACTATATAACTGAGGATAAAAACCAAGGTTTCCCTTTCTGTGGTTTTATTTCTTATTGAAAATTAGAAACCATTGAATGTGTCTCTCTTGAACACTAGATTTTGGGGGGGAAAAATTGAATGATTGACATTTTCTAGTTTTTTCCAGGATATTTGACATTGAAATCACTCACTCCTCAGTACTGGGCTTCAGTGATAGGCTGGAAACTAATGCTCAGTAAAAGCCTGCATTCCTACATACAAATAAATCAGAGGGATTAAAAAATAAAACCCCTTACAGTGTGTCCAAAAGAATGGTTCTGGAAGCAGAAATTATCTCACATGACTAGAGGCTAGTTGATTTTCCCACTCTTCTCCCTGAACTCCAGTCATCGGGACCCAAGCAGGACCTTGGGAAACGGATGACTAGGATTCCATACACTCCGGCACCATACACAGCACAGGGCCTCTTTCTCTGACTCAGGTCAGCAATACCTGGTCCCTCACAAGGCCTAAGGAAGACGTAACTATTTGCTAATGAGTTTTGGTAAGTGGGTTCTGATGGTAAATTGGGTATTTCTTAACTTAATTTGGCAGATCAAATATTAGAGACAGAACCTTTGATTGCCCAAACTTCACAATAGTAGCTCTCCAAATTAAATTTGCAAATTGATGCCAGTTCAAAAGCATTTTTTGAAAAAATTCTATTTATAAGCCTTGTACACTCTCAGTGGGTAAAGAAGGGTGGAGAGAAGCAGCTCATAGTCTATAAGAATCATTGGGTGAAGCTGTAGACCTACACTGAAGAGCAGAAGCTAATTGCTTCCTAACCCCTTCCACACTGCACTGAAAGAACGACCTACTGTGCATGTGCAAACTCAACTCTCTTCATAAGAGAGCACATAAGCCCTCCAAGCACCCAAGAAAATGCCACTGGGTCCTCATTCGCACTGCTTATCCCTTATACTTTCCTCACAGATCTTCAGACCTTCCTCCAGAGACCACTTCCTTCCTACTTTTAGACTCACACTGACAGTTTAAATGTCAGGTGTTGGGAGCAGCAATTTAGAAAAGGTAGTGGTCTGACTACTCAAGGTAAGTCCTATGACAGCAACGAGAAGACATAATTTACAGTCTGACCTCCAAGAAGGAGATTGGAAACTGTTTTTAAAAATGGAGGCTGACATAGGAAGCCATTCAATGCAGGGACAAATGGCTGTTTTGGCCCTGAGAGCACCTCTATAATGCAACAGAGTGAAGTATGTAAAAGAAAAGTATATTATGCTCAATATATTTTGCAGCAAAATCAGTAAAACTCAATATGACAGGTAGAATCCTAGATATAAAAATGGCAGACCCTTAAGAGAGCATCCCAGTCCAATTCCTTTATTTTACAAAGACGGAAACTGAATGGAAGGCGGTAAGTAGGCTCAGTGTAGAATGGAGACAAGGGAGTGCAGCCCAGCTGCCTGGTGCCCCTTCCGTATGGACGCCCTGGCAGCTGACGCTGCTGAGGGGACTGAAAAGAGATGTTGCATCACACTCACTTGTTCATTGTGTCATGGCTTTTGACATCTCTATTTTTGCTTCCTTGCACTGATTTCAACCCCTTCAAAGGAGAGGAAACCTACTCTATTTATCCATAAAAGACTGAATTATTGTTCTCTGATTTGTGATGAGAGAACCTCAGGTTTGGCCTTCACAAAATCGGGACTGAAGGCAAAGTTTACATATTTACGTGGTAGTCCCCACCTACATCCTCCTTCACCTCATTCCTGGTGTGTCTCCTCCAAGCTGTCCTCTGTCTGTCCTCCAACTTGGTGCCCCACCCACTGGCTCCACACCCAGACTTCCTAGCACAATGCAGGAAACTCTCCCAACTCCCAGAACTTTAGTATATTCACAGTCACTTTCTAACCTGACCTAAAATTCCATCAAACAAAAAATGAGACAATATACTCATGTTTTTCAAATATAAGTGGGAGCTTGTTAAAATGTACATTTCTGATCACCATCTCCTAAAATTATGATTCAATAGATTTTCTAGTGAAAGTGGGCCTTGACATGCTTTGCAAAGCACATGGCTTCTGCTTGCTTCTGCAGCCTCGTCTCTCCCAGTGCCCCTATGCACACTGCCCTCCACCCAAACACTTCAGTCTCTCTGACATGTCTGTATCATGTTCCACCTTCTACGTCCAATTAATTCCTCCATAACCCTCAACACCAGCTGACGTAACTATCTCTCGTCCCTGCTCTGTGTTCCTGTACAGCTCTGCATTACCAAGCTCACAGAGCCTTTAATGTGCAGTGATTTTCTGATATATCTCCCCTGGAGGGGCAGGGCCATGTCTCACTTGCCTTATTTATTCCCAGCACTTAACACTCTGCCAAGCACATAGTAGGCACTCTAAAAGTGTTCATTAAATTATCTTTTGCATGTGCTAAATTTCCTTGTTAACTAATCATTTATTTATATGGGCATTTTTTTTATCAACCCCCTCTAGATATAGTACAGGATTTTCACAGATCCCTTGAAGTATCACCTTCAAATGAGGAGCACCTCATCAAATGGGAAAATGAAAGAGAAGAATGTTACACACACTATAATCCTGATGCCTTCAAATGTGGGTTCACAATGAATCATGCCTACATTCACTCAGGATATATGACATCTGAGGACCAATGACAAAGACACATAGAACAAATGGGAATATTTCTAAATAAAGGTCAGCTTCTAATAGTTCCTTAGAATTGGTTCTGCGTGCCTTCCCAAGCATTCAGGTTAAAAAGTTTTTCAGAACTGGGGTTGAAAGACAAACAACTTGGCTTTGAATAAATCCATATACATAAAACTGTGTACTTGTTCTAAGATCCCAAAGAGTCTGTATTTTCCACCCAAGAAGGTACCAGGAGGCCCCCGGAAGCCCATCACACACATGTGCCTGTCCCATGCAGGTGTCTGCTATGCAGAGTTCGGAGTCCGTGTCCCCAAGACCACGGGGTCCGCCTACACCTACAGCTACGTCACTGTGGGGGAGTTTGTGGCATTTTTCATCGGCTGGAACCTGATCTTGGAGTACCTGATCGGGACTGCAGCTGGTGCCAGTGCCCTGAGCAGCATGTTTGACTCACTAGCAAACCACACCATCAGCCGCTGGATGGGGGACAGCGTGGGAATCCTCAACGGCCTGGGTGAGCCTGCCACATCCTCTTATCCCCATGTGTAAACTTACTGAACCAAAAGAGCAGGTTCCCCTTTCAGGATACAGTTGGGCAAAATTTATCAAGAGCTTTAAATATGTGTGTGTGTATATATATACATATATATATACATATATATATTGGCTAAGTAATTCTTCCCCTGTGAATCTATTCTAAAGAAATCATTCTGATTTCCATAAAAACTTTACAAGAAGAGATGTTCATCACAGCCTTATTTATAACAACCAAAAATTAGAAACAATTTTAATTTTCAACAATGGAGCAAATGATTAAGTAAATTGCAGAAGCATATTATGTAGCTAGCAATCAAAAGGATGATTAGGAAGAATTTTGTAATAATATGAAATATGTTTTTGATGTAATGTCACAGGACAAAGGATATAAATTATTCATACATCATGTTAATAACTGTATAAAATTAAAACTAATGCAGAAAAAAGAACTGTAAAAAACTTCTCCAACGGTTTCATCATATTGTTTAATTTTCATAAATAAGAATGTGTTGATTTTTAGATAAAGAGAAAAATCTATCTTTAAAGGAACAAACTGGATTCCAGTCTAGCAGAGGTCAAGGATGGGTAATGTAACTGAGTGAATACTAAACAATCAGAAACTCACATAACAAATGCCACGAGACTTCAGGCTCCATCCATCATTTGTCACCCACTTTCCACCCTGATGTGTGACTTTATCCTTTTATAATCATGAGAAGCCAAACAAAAGTTGAGGAAGCATTGGAGCGTTGCCTCAGAATTTCAAGGACTAGTTCTGTGGTTGTGTGCAAGTCATTTGACTTCAATGTCCCTATGTCAGAGGAATTGCCAAAAATGCTGAGCATCCAGACACCATGAGATTAAAAAGTATGAAGACCACATTTCCTCAGTGTACTGATTTCACAGTAGTTTAGGTCCGAAAGGGCCCTCCAGAATCAAGCAATCTAAACCCTCTGCTCTACAGATGAGGTCCTGAGAAATGAGGCAGGTGCCCAGAGCCCACAGCTGGTGACAGGCAAACGTACAGCTGAAATCAGGAGCCCGGCAGCTTGGGCAGTGCCTTCTGCGCTCCACAGAGGGCAGGAGTCTGCTGCCCATGAACTAGACCCCATGAACTAGACCGAGCTGATGGGGCGTGTTCACCGGTCATTCTCTCTGCAACCACATAACAAAAGAAAGAAAAAACACACCCTCCTCCCAATAGTTTACAAAAACACATCTTTTTAAAATTTCTAATAATAAAAAGATTGCTGGAATGAAATGGAAAATGTATGGACTATAAAGTGATGAACGGTGAAGGTAAAACCATTTTCAAATAACATGTTAGACGCAGACACAGGCCCTGAATGCCCCAGGGCGGTCCCGACTTCAGGTGTTCCACACCACGGTTCCATAGACACTGTTGCAGTTGTCATATCACGGATCCAGTTTTGGGGGTCAGGATACCAGCTCACCTCAGCCTTCCGTTTGCAGACAGACACCTATGGCCCAGCATACAGGTGTGCGCGCACACACACACAAACGGCTCCTGCTTCTCACTCCTTGGCAAACTGACCACCCCTCCCGGCACTGGGCGCAGATGCCCTGCAGGGGCGGGAGGGCGGTGCATGCCCTTTTTTCCCTCTGGACGATGTTAACTCCCATCTTTCACCTCCTAGGGAAAGGTAAAGAATCATACCCCGATCTTCTGGCCCTGGTGATAGCGGTCATTGTCACCGTCATCATCGCGCTGGGGGTGAAGAACTCCGTGGGCTTCAACAACATCCTCAACGTGCTGAACCTGGCGGTGTGGGTGTTCATCATGATCGCAGGCTGTTTCTTCATCAATGGGAAATACTGGGCTGAGGGCCAGTTCCTGCCCCATGGCTGGTCAGGGGTAAGTTCGCTCCTAAAGCCCAGGAGAGCTAGCACAAGCTCTGCCTTCCACCCAGTGACAGTCTGAGACATGTTTTCAAGAAAATGTTGCTCTGTCCCATCATCTTCATGGCACCCTATTCATCACCTTTTATCTGAATTTAATTGGAATGTTCTGAAGAAGTGGTTCTTATATAATTTTTTTATTTATTTGTTTCACAAACATTTATTGAGATCCCACACTACACAGGTAACAATAATATATTTGGTGTGTTGGCCACTTACAATATGCCTAATACTATGTTAAGTGCTTTGCATGTAATATCTCATTTAATCTTCCTAATAACCTTGCAAGGAAGATACTTAGAGATGAAAAAAATCAACAAGATGTCAAATGACATGTTATTAAGCACACAGTGTAAGTGACAGAGTCAGGGCCCAAAACCAGGACTGTCTGACTCCAAAACTTGTATATGAACAGCTTGGTTCTATAGAATCTCTCTATAGTCTATGCAGAGAGACAGACAGTCCATAAATAAACAGTGAAGTAAATTAAAGGAAGTCAGGAGGGTGAGTGGATGGGGAAGGGATGAGTGGTGCCTACCCAGAGAACCAGGGAAATAATAGTTTTTCTATCTAATCCCAATGCTGGACCTGAGGTGGAGAGTCCCGCTGAGGTCCCAGGACAGCTGAGTGGCCAAGTGGGCGCTGGTGTAAACCCCATTCCAGTGGCACGGCTCACAGCACAGGAGTCCACCTGGTGTGCTGAAGGGGCTGGCAAGAGAGTGGGCTGGACCAAAAGGACATTTTCAGATCTCATCCCCATGATCTACATGGTGGGAAAAATGGAACATTCAGAGCAATGAATCCTTTTATATGGACAGGTAGTTCTAAGTCAGGCCTAGATGCTTTCTCTAGTATGCCTGGATTTATCAGCATAACTGACTGGCCCATTTTTTTACCCAGTAGAAAATACATCAGACAATTTTGAGCTGGAAGGCATCTTAGCGGTCACTTGGTCCTACCCCCTCTTTTAAAAGATAAAAAACCTGTGACCAGGGGAGGCACACCTGCCTAGCACTGGTGGCAGAGGTCAAGTTCAGGATTCCACCAGGATTGCTTTTGTGGCTTTTGCTTAGACTAGTTTTCCTCCAAGATGTCCAGGGATCAGAAATCTCTTTTGGACGACATTCATGTTTATTTTGAACCATGCCACACTGTCCAATGCAGAGAATAAGCAGGGAAGTAGTTTAAACCAAGATTTCTAGTCTTCTGCTTATCTGTAAGAATTCCACAGCACCACAAAGTGCAGCCCTCCTCCTCGAAATGAATAAATCCTGAAACCGGTTAAAACCAGAAGAGACAAAGAAACACTGTTGACCCCATACTGGATCCCCAAGTCTATATTTTCTTACAATACAAATCATTCCTTTCCTATCAAATAAAAGAAACAACAAATGTTAAGAGTGACAAAGAAAGAATGTTTTTCCAGAACTCAACAACTGCATTTTCCTCATAGCACATGAAAATATTCTCACCATTTCTTAACAATATAAAAATTATTGGGTCATGGACTTACTGCAAAGCTTTGACTAACTTTTTCTGAGTTTTTAGGTTTTTTTCATCCATCAGGTAGAAAAACTAATTGTACCCAATGTTTGCAAAAAATAATAAAATCTTGGGTGTTTTTATGTGCACATTGTGTGGCTAGCAATAGTGATAATTATAGGAAGAAGGAGCTAGAATTCATAGACTATTAGGTGCCCAGCACTGAGCTCTATGACTATTATCTCACTCTGACAACAAAACTTTAAAGCAGGTGCTGCTGTCCCCACCTTATAGATGGAGAATCCAGGCTCAGAGAGGCAGGGCAACTTACCTGAAGTCCCTTAGCTAGTCAGTGCCAGGACGGAAATTCCTTTCCAGGTCTGTGTGACTCCAAAACTCTTTCCACTATGAGCACCTTGTGCATGGTGACCCCCTCCCTCTTGAGCCTTCTTTAAAAAAGAGAGGGGATAAGGTAATTAATCTGACATACTACATTTTCATTTCCCTTAAGCTTTCACAAAGTCATAGAGTCTTGGAGCTGAGAGGAGCATTAAGATGTGGTCTGCTCTGTTTTCCGATCTTCAGTTGGGAATATAGTTAAACCAGCCCAGGCCAAGTGTGATTGTTCGCTAAGACAAAACAATCTGAAAACTTCTCTTAATTACTCAGTTCATGTTTAATTTTCAAAATCTCCTAATAGCTCACCTAAATGGCACATACCATAGTGTGGGCCCCATGCAAAGACTGGAAGGAGCTCATCCTCTGTGTAAATACCCTTTGCCCATGCTGGAGAAGATGAATGAGTCTTTTAGTGCCCTGGTGCTTTCTTCTGGGGTCTTTGTTCTCCTTGTGGGGGGATCTCTTCTTCCCTTTCAGGGGCTCCACATCCTTCCTCAGTCCCAAGCCCACCTCATCAAGGAAGAAGCTGATCGAGCCAGCCTTCCTAAGCCAGAACTCCCATTTACAAATCCTGATTTCTCACTAACTTTGTAGCAAGAAGAAAGGATCAGAAATCAGGGATAAACAAGAAAGGAAGGATGCCATGCCTAACACATTTTCCTAATGACATACTCTTTCATGCATACTTCTCATGTAATCCCCACTTTTACATCAAAATAAGTTTAGAAAAGTTAAGGTCACAGTTCTAGATCATAAATCATGGATGAGACAAAGGCCATATTCACTCTACTAACCCTGGGTTTGGACACCTGAAACCGATTGCCTTCTTTTGTACCTTTAGCCTCACTGACCTCACTCTAACCCAAATCAGCTGTCCTGAGTAGGCTTGTCACATGCCACCAAACCTTGGCTAGGATTTTGGATTTTTCACTGCAAATCAGTTATCCCGCAGGAAATTCAAATGTGTGTCCTGGTCACTGTGACTAAAAGTATTATCTGAGCACAAAGGACAGCCCAGTGTGCAGATGTTCTGACTCACTCATCCTTTTTGCTGTCTGCCTGGCCGTGGATTTCTGCACAGTGCATTTCCTTCCTAGCAAATGGACCTGGACTGTTCTTTCTCCCCTCCGATTTCAGGTCACTTCTAGTCCAGCAAGGCCACTTTGAATATAGATCTTATTTTTTAAGGTCTGGCACCTTCTCACAATCACATTACCACCAAGTTAACTAACACACTCCCTGTTCTGTTATTGAACAAATGTCAACAAAAACATGTTGCCTAATTGACAGCTGCATGAACTTCTTTATTCCTCAGGGAAAACCTGACTCCTAACCATGTCTAGGAGATTAATTCAGAGTTCTAATCTATTTCATTCTCCAATCATTTTAGGTAGGATAGGATGGAGAAAGCTATTGTGTGGTGGACGGTTTATAAGGATACCATTGCATGCCTTGAAACACAATTCTCAAATAATTTGAAAGGGTTAATGAACAATCTGTCCTCTGGCCGTGGACCCCCCTCATAAGCCTACTTGCCCTGCTTCAACCACTTCCTTCCAAAAAAAATAACTTAAGGAATGGTTTACTCACTTACAGGTTCTGGGTCAAACGCTTCTTTGGTCGTGAAGAGCTTAAGAACAACAAACACTTCTCCCTATATCAAGTAACTGCTGGCCCTCAGCTGAACCCCTGCTTCCATCTGCAATTCCTCAGCCCCTGAAAATTGTTGGATGTGTATTCCCTGTATGTTATTTGTTCTTGATGCTATCTTATGGTTTTTCTTTAACCAAACAAGACACTCTACCAGCACAAACAAATCCCAGGAAAATGGTCCATAGCGAGCATTTGTAGGGAATGCTGACAGCTTCCAAGCAAAGAAAAAGTTGTTTTTCATGTTCTCCATATTTGAATCCATTTGTTGGAACCTATTAGCACATTCCACTGTCACTGTGGACAGGCCGCTAATAGATCTGGAGAGTGAGGGTGGTATAAAAGGTTATTGAATTTGGAGTTCCATCTTATTATCTTGGGAGTGAATTACCTGAAGGTGCTTAATTATGTCCTGGGCCTCTGGCAGACTGGCCAAGGCAAAATATGGAGGGTTGCCTCATCCTAATGCCTGCCTCTCAGATATCAGCAGGGCACCGGGGCCACCTTTTAGGGAGCCCACACATGGTAGCAGGCCACTAATGACATTGCTTTAAACAACTTCTTAAACAGCAGTCGTCCAGCCCCCGAGGCATGTGCTGCTGCCCTGTCCACTCTGTGGAGGGACAGATAATCTGGATCACCTGGCTGAGCAGCTACATCAGGTTTACTTTGGAAAACAATTTCCGCTTAATCAAATTTCAAAGTCAATACTATTTTTTACCTATATAAAATATCAAAGGGATGTTACAATAAAGTACCAGTGAACCCAGAAATACACATACTCACATGGATACACACACACACACAAGCACACACACACACACACTTCACCCACCAATTTTATCTACAGATACTCACCCCGGATGCCACACATATTCGTTCATGCGTGGGAGGGTGCCCACATCATGAACAGTAGTGGCTGCGTATGAGATCTTTATAGAGTGAAATGGGTAGCAGTTCTTAGTTGCCTGTTTGGGTAGGGACACCCATACAGAGTTTAATTTCATGGCTCTTTTGCATTTACCCATCAGGGATCATTTACTTGCAAGGAAGAATAATTCAAACTAATTCAAGTGGAAAGGTGACCTTTATTTGCTAATTATATTTTCTTCTCTTGGTTAATCTATTTACTTAATCTATGTCTTGTTAGTCCAAGTTCTGTTTGATCTGGGCAGGTGGGCTGGTTTTCTCCATCTGCCTCTGTTCCCCAGATCCATTTTCCAGCCTTCAGGTTCTGCTCTGCGCTCCAGGACACCCCTGCTGGTTGCTTCCCATTCAGTGTAGCCACTGGAAGATACCGTTAGGAGCTGAGAACGTAAGAGAGGAGCAGGGCCGGGGCACTTCCCCCTCCTTCTCTCCCAGACTTGGTTCCTGTAGTCCCATCATTGAAATCATCTTACTTGAACCATCTGAGTTAAATTCTGTTTTCTGCCTAATGCAGTAGAACATCCAAATGTCCTACATTTAACCTATTCAGTCTTACGTCAAAGATTGCTTTCTAGCTCTACATAGGCAAATTCTGGCTAACGTTCTGTTTGAAAACTTAGTTCTCCCTTCTAACTTGATCATAGTTAATTTTCTGTTATCTAATCATTATCAATAATTGCCATCCATTCTTTCATTCACTTGGAAAGGAGTAGCATTTGTATTTTTTAAATAATATAGAATCTTATTAATCTTGCTCATTTTGATACCACAGCTCAGTTCTGATAATTTCCTCTAGACTTTTTGCTTATGATGGTGTCCACATCATCAAGCACATGGAAGTAGTTAATAAATATATGTTGAGTGTTTAAAAGAACAAAGAGGAGGAGGAGGAGGAGGAGAAGAAGGAGGGAGAAGAATGTTTTTGTTTCCCTGGTTTTCATCTGTTCTCAAAAAACTTACAATAGTAAAAGTACTGGTAGTAGGAACTAATATTTTTTGAGCACCTACTGGACTCCAGGACTGCAGTTTACTATAGTATCTCATTTAGTCCTTATAGTAACTGAATGAGCTAAGTACTATTTTTAATCTCCATTTAAGTGATAAAGAAAATGAGGCTCTAAGAAGTAAGGAACTTGTTTTAGGTCACCCAGCTAGCATGTGGCAGAGCCAGCCTAGGTGTGCCAGACTGCAGAGCCTGCACTCTGAGCACAATCTGCCCCCGCCCAGGCCAATGGCTCTGAGAGCCCCTCTGGAGCCTGGGACGTGCTTGTCTTCCAACTTCCTCTTCGAAATCGGAAGGTGTCCCCTGTGACTTCCACTGAGCCTTTTTTCCTTCAGGTCCCTGGTCCCTGGTTGTTCCTGCATAGCCTGGTTTACAGACCTCTCCCCTTCTTCCCCAGTAGGCTTAGCCTGCAATTCTTTAAGACCCTCCCTGTTCTCCTCAGCAGTGAGCTTTTCCTGGACCTAAAAGGACATCTCCAAGCATGCAGAAAGGCCTATTTTTTACTTTCAGCTGATAATAAGAATGCTAAGGTAGAAACTTCATTTAAACTTCAGTAGATTCTGTGAAAGAAAGTAACTCATTCCTCAAAGGAAGATTTTCACTACCATTCAGACTCATCAAGACCCAGCCTCCCTAGAGCCACGGGGACGGCTCCTCGGCAGACACCCAGTCCGGGCCGCTGCCACCACCTCCCCAGCTTTGCACTGCCTCATGCCTTGTACCTTCTCCTGCTTGTGGTCCAGTGGGGCCACTCAAGCCCCCAAAAGGAATGGAAAAATCAAACTATTTCTTCCTGTCTTTCCATGGAAGACAATAGAATATCTGGAGATCTGAAAATATTTTACATCATTTCAGATCTGGAAGTTCCCAGAAGTGATCAGGGGCACCAGTGGCAATTTGGGCAGAACAATTCCTCCGTGCAGAAGCATCAGAGCCCCCTGCACTACACGCCTGAAACACTCGCCCCGTGTTTCTGGGACAGTCAGAATTTCTCCCCACATTTCCAAACATTCTCTAGGGGTGTTCATACATCTCCTGGTTGTGTGAGAACCATTGAATGAAAATAAAGAATGAGGAGGTCAATGTGTTCCCCAAAACATAGGAACAGCCAATTTATTACTTTATTTATAACCCCACTTATTTCCAAAAGTGATTTGCATGTGTTGAATGACCCATTTTCTTTGGCCATAATTCTTCTAATCTCCATGTTACACATGAGGCAGTTGCCCAGGATCACACAGCTAGAGAATAGAGAAGATCAGAACTTGAGTGTCTACATAAATTTCCCTACATTATCCTCTCTGCCACTCAGCCATGTCTGCCAGGAATTGGGCAACTGTGGGTGCCACATGGAGGGCCCTGGTGCTGCCATGACACTGAAGCTGAGTAATGCCATTGTCCACACAGGTGCTCCAAGGAGCAGCCACGTGCTTCTATGCTTTCATTGGCTTTGACATCATCGCCACCACCGGAGAGGAAGCCAAGAACCCCAACACATCCATCCCTTATGCTATCACCGCCTCCCTGATCATCTGCCTGACAGCATATGTATCCGTAAGTATGAGTGCCTTTGGGACCCTCCTCGTGGCCTTTTCATATTTGACCTTAAAATCTATCTCTGTGACTGGGCTTCCTCCTGTCAGGAAGTAATCCTTTCCTTGTGCCTTCTTGGTGTGTGTATACTTGTGTACATGCCCCCTGTATCCCCACTCATCAATGACAAGGAAAATATCAGGACTCCAAACGAGATGGGAGGAGCCCCAGACCCGCACTTCAGCCATGGCCTCCGAGTCTCCATCCCCTCCCTGCCCCAGAGGCAAGCTCTTGATATTTGCTGCTGCCAGGGGATGGTGTGCAGGGAGTGGGCAGCCATCCAAAGAGCTCAGATCAGAGGCTGGCAGTAACAGGTGGGTGTGCGAGTGAGGCATTGTGGGCCTCTGTGCACCCTCTTCAATGCTCTTCTGTCTTCTGGGAGCTTCCCGGCAGCAGAGAGGCGAGGCTCTCCCAGAGAGACTAAGTGCATCATCCTCCAGAGGCACTCTTCCCATCAAACCTCAGGGGAAATGCGATTTCTTTCTGCTATTGCTCCCCCTTTTTACACTGGTTCAAGCTCACTCTCTCCGGTTTCCCTGCTAAGGGGAGCCCTCACAATAAAGCCTTTGGTCTTGTCTCCTCACCCTTTTGATGTGTCGTCTCACAGCTCCCATCTCAGAATTTCTATCATAGAAAGAGTTCAGCCACTTCCAACATCTTCTCAGCCCCTGGCAGTGGACAGAACCCGCTGACAAGCCAACCAGTGTGTGATCACACAGAGACTCCCTGTCCTAAGGGTTTGCTCACTTGGGTCACCATAGTTAGGAAAGAGCCAGCAGCTGGGGTGCACCCTATCCGCCCTGATGTTCCTGCTGCCAAAGCATTCAAAAAGAACCTCCTTTTCCAACCCCCACTCAAAAAATTCCAAAACCATCTTTAGCAACTACCTAAAGAATCCGGCCAATTGATCATCAAGGCAAGCTGCAAAACAGGATTGTCCTGGAAGCCAAAGGAAAACATGAGAGCAGCCTTGGATGCAGTTTCTAGAAATTCAATTGCCCACTCAGAAGTTTATGGGTGAGTCGATTAGCACCTCCTCCATGCACACACCGTGCAAGTGGCTTCATCTTATCTCTACCCTCACATCCCCGCAGACAGATCTGTCTGGGATGGCTGGTGGTATGGGGGAAGCAGCAGAGACACTCCGCTCTGCATTCCCCCTCCTAGTCTTCCCTCCCACTTCCTCCTCCTCTGGGCTTCCTCCCTTAGAACAGGACTACACACGGTGCTGTATCTCTGGGCATCTACCGACATTTTGTACCTCCTGATCTCGCAGGAGACTTGGTGTGAATTGCTGTAAAAATCAATCCCACTCTCCTCCAGCCCACCTATCACACCCCCAAAGGGTGATATTGCTGGGAAACCTTCTCTTCCAGAACACATGGGCCTTATCATGCTTTGGGGATGTTTCATCAGCAGGCATCCATTCCCCCACCAGAAAAGCCAAATTTCTTGGCAGTGGTGGTCCATCCTGTGGAGGCCCATGGCTTACTGGAGCATTTGGGCTCCTAAGGAATAGGCAAAGAAGTGGTCCTGGGAATGCACCAGCCTCCCCCTTTTAGGCTCCGAACTTCCTTTTTGATGCCAGTGTTGACCTGGCATAGTGGTCCTTGGGTCACAGGCCAGGGTAGCCCCATATCTGGCCATATGACTGGTAGCTTCATTGCCTGGGGCCAATTCTGAAAGGAGGGGTGCTATGGCAGATCTATGACATGAAGAGAGATAGGTCCAGAAAGCCCCAGGCGATTCCTGGTTAAGCAAAGCCACAGTGGTTATACAGCCCCAGAGGAGGACTGGATTCCATCCTGATTCCATAATTTGCTTGTTGGCCTGCCTGGCTCCTGAGAGTGAGCTACAGAGAAAATAGAAAGATCCCATCAGCTAACTGGCCGTGGATCTCCTACACACATCTTTGCCATTTCAGTATCTGGTCTTCAGGATAAGAGGTAGTACAGCTAAGAGTCTATAGGATCCTGAAAGTATAAAAGAAATGTGTTTTGTCGCTCTGGGCAGGGTGCTCATGGTCACTGTCAGGCCCAGGTTCCAGTGCTATAGGCCACAATTCCTTCTACCTGGTAGTGTCTTCCCTTCGCTGAACTGTCAGAGTGGCTCTGCTTTCATGCTATAATACCTGCAGACTTACTCTTCAGATATTAAAGGGCCACAGATAGATAGTAGAGATTATCTGGTCCAGTCCACTGAAGTCACATGGGAGAAGAAAATACTGAGATAAGAGCGCCAGAGGCCACATGACTCATCTAAAATAAAGGTATGTGCCAACAGGTAGCAGATCAAATGGCTGTGCAGGCCTCTGGCTCCAGGTCTAGGGCTCATTCCTCTTCTGTGGGACTTCGGGCTCATTCCTCTTCTGTGGGACTTCCATCCATGCTGTCAGTCCCTCCTACCTCCAACCATGTTTTCTCTTGTTTTCACAGGTGAGCATGATCCTAACTTTGATGGTGCCATATTATGCCATTGATACAGAGTCCCCGCTCATGGAGATGTTTGTTGCTCGTGGGTTCTATGCTGCAAAATTCATAGTGGCCCTTGGGTCGGTTGCAGGACTGACAGTCAGCTTGCTGGGCTCCCTCTTCCCAATGCCAAGGGTCATTTATGCCATGGCTGGTGATGGGCTCCTTTTCAGGTATGGGTTATGCTCTGTGGAATTTATTCTGTGCACCACACCTGTCCAGGGAGAATGTCAGCCACTGTCAGCCTGACTATAATTTTGATGTAAGTGACTGTCACATAGACTGGGGCATGCATCATATATCCTGGCAAAATGTCTGAGTGACAAGAGCTTAGACTCTAAAACAGTTTGACTCCAGGTCCCTCAATCTCGTACAAACTAATATGCCACTAACTGCTCCCACCTCCTGTCTGACACTGTGTACTCCTTTGAAAAGATGGCAGGTGCCAAACTGTTACACTGGGTGGCCTCCATGAAGAAGATCCCACCCCAGAGATATCTCAGACCTGCCCTCACATTGAGGCAATGGTAACTGCCCCCCTCTCCACGGCCCCTTGAAGTTGAGAAAGTTCAAAGTAACAATCAAAGGGAGGATAAGAAGATCTGAACAGAACCTAATAATAGTAGTAAAAATAGTTAACCACTTATTGAACATCTGTGTATCTCAGGTGCTTTGTATATAGTATCCCATTTAGTTGTCACAATAGCTCTGCTTTGCAAATGAGTATACTAGGTGAGTACATTCAGAGAGAGAGAGAAAAAAACATGTCCCAAAGCTCCCAGATGCTGGGGGTGGGTGGGAGTGGCTAGGGCAGGGGGGAGGGGAGCCAGGATTTGAACCCAGGACTCCCTGACTCCAAAGGCCAGACTTTTGGCCATGCCAACATAATGACACGTCCACCCCCCCTGCACTGGGCATGGAGCAGCCTATCTGCCCATGGTACAAAGTGCAGGTGGCCACATCTCAGTTCCCAGTGCCCACAGAAAAGGCTCTTCCAGTACGCAAAGCAAGGAGCAACCCGTCTAGGCCCAGGAGCTCTCGGGGGCACAGAGGGACCCAGCTCAGGACTGCACCTCCGCTGTCGGCTTTCATCTTCTGCTCTGGTCCCTCTGTATACCCTCTGAAGTCATCACCAGGTCAAAACTGCTCCGTTTGGGAGCTGAACAGACCGAGAAGAGGCTGACCATGGTGGAGACGTGACGACTTCACACACCTGGAAGGGTTTTCCGCCACCAAAGAAAACTAAGAGGAAAGACACTGGGGCTCTAAGTACAGCTGATAGCCTTGTATGAATCAGGGGAATGAGGGAGGAATGGAAGCAGAGGGAGGAGTGGGGATCCAGAGGAAAGAGAGGGGAGCAGGAACCTACTCAAAGCTCACAGGAACTGCTGGAGACCTGTCTGCCATTCAGGTGCTCTTGTTGGTCTCCTCCAGTCAGTAGCTGGCTATCAATACCTTTATAATTATTGTGCTATTTTGCCCACTAACTCCCTGTACTTTTGCTATAGCACAGTGCTTCTCAAGGTTTGGCAGAATCCTCTGGAGGTTTTTGAATGCCTATTTTTTGGGCCCCACTCCCAGAGATTCTGACATAGTAGTAGGTCTCAAATGAAATCTGAAAAATACATATTTGTAACAAGCTCCAAGGTGATGCTGACGCTGCTGGTCCACAGACTGCACTTTGGGTAATATGTCAGAGGACCCCAAAGCAGGTGTATGGCTTCTCCAACTCTGAGTTCTTCACAGCAAAGTCTGGGCTTCAGTTTAGGTTTCTGAAACATCATGTAGATTCAATCAACCCTTCATACCACATAATGAAGTAGGAACTTTGATAAAGAAGTCTGCCTCAAAACCCAGGAATTAAAGTACAAAATTATATTCCAGGAACCAAACCTGGGCTAAGAATACCAGCTGAATTTAGAGCAGTGAATCCAGAAGTAGATTGGAGGGGCAGGACCGCACAGTGACAAGCCATGTTAGAATCAGCCACCATCTGTAACCCGCCACTAACCCTCTGCTCCATCTCCCTGCAGGTTCCTGGCTCACGTGAGCTCCTACACAGAGACGCCAGTGGTGGCCTGCATTGTGTCAGGGTTCCTGGCAGCTCTGCTCTCGCTGTTAGTCAGCCTGAGAGACCTGATAGAGATGATGTCCATTGGCACACTCCTCGCCTACACCTTGGTCTCTGTCTGTGTTTTACTCCTCCGATACCAACCAGAGAGTGACATTGATGGGTTTGTCAAGTTCTTATCTGAGGAGCACACAAAGAAAAAGGACAGCATTCTGGCTGACTGTGAGAAGGAGGTTTGTTCTCCTGTGAGTGAAGGAGAAGAGTTTTCTGGCCCAGCCACCAACACATGTGGAGCCAAGAACTTACCTTCCTTGGGGGACAATGAGATGCTCATTGGGAAATCAGACAAGTCAACCTACAATGTTAACCACCCCAACTATGGCACTGTGGACATGACCACAGGCATAGAAGCTGACGAGTCGGAAAACATTTACCTCATCAAGTTAAAGAAGCTGATTGGGCCCCGTTACTACACCATGAGGATCCGGCTGGGCCTCCCAGGCAAAATGGACCGTCCCACGGCAGCTACAGGGCACACGGTGACCATCTGCGTGCTCCTGCTCTTCATCCTCATGTTCATCTTCTGTTCCTTTGTCATCTTTGGTTCTGACTACATCTCCGAGCGGAGCTGGTGGGCCATTCTTCTGGTTGCTCTGATGGTGCTGCTCATCAGTGCCCTGGTGTTTGTGATCCTGCAGCAGCCAGAGAACCCCAAGAAGCTACCCTATATGGCCCCTTGCCTCCCCTTTGTGCCTGCCTTTGCCATGCTGGTGAACATCTATCTTATGCTAAAGCTCTCCACCATCACATGGATCCGGTTTGCAGTCTGGTGTTTTGTGGGTAAGCAACTTCCTTTGGAAAACTTGAAAGCTCCTTTTAAGTTCTTGAACAGGCCTATCCCAAAATCACCTTCTAGCTGGATGAGGCATCTGCATTCCATGGGAAATCTGGCTCGTTCTATGAACACTTGCTTTCTGCGTTACAGTCAATAAAGCCAGTTGTGCCCTTTCTGCCTAAGGTCTTGATCGTTAGTTCTGAAGAATGATGCCAATCAATCCATTACTTCATTGGAAACTATTATTGGACATTCTCCTTATGGATAATTAATACTATAAAAAGGTCACTTAGAATGAATCCACATGAACAAGGGCCAAAAATAGCACAGTAAAAGAGAGGTGTTCATGTTGATTGGCATTTTATCTCATAAACTAAAAATTATGCAACTGAAAGTTATGCAAAAGTTCTCTTATACTTGACAAAATTAAAATAAAATACTGATCAAGTCCTAATTTTTTTAAATGAGCAAAGTATGAATTAAGTATGGATTTTTTGGCATAATTTTCTGGACAAAAATTGCACTATTTAACATCTGTCATTTCGATTGACTTTTATAAAATATTCAAGAGTTTTTCATGTTTTCCCAAGGTCCTTTCTTCATCCTTTGATATTCCAGTCATCCTCTTGGGAAGTACCCATTAGGCCATTATCCTTGCTAATTTTCTCTTCTTCTGTCCATGACTGATATGACTCCATTAGGTATTCAATTGTCCACAGCTCTGAGTGTGCATTAGAGTTTGCTCTCTAAGCTCACTTTCATCACCATCAAGTCCTGTTACTTTCTCAAGATTTCTAATTTTCCTTGACTTACATTCACATTACATGTTTATCATATCTGAGAATCACTGATGTTTATGAGATGATTGGGAACTGGTGCTCATGATAACTTGAGAGGGGTGTTTAAGTGAAGAGTAACTTTAAAGTTCCTTGGTCACTATTTTTATGTTGCCTACACAACTTGGCAAGCTGAGGTCTCTGGTAACAAATACTTAGCTAAGGAGAATCCTATGGTGCTTTGAGGAATAAGAAGTAATAGAATGAGTAGCCCCTGCCTTAAGCAGAGGCAAGATGAATACACGTAAATCAATTTGCCTGGCCAAGGCAACATAAGGACACGTATTGATCAGTAGAAGTTCAACATTGTGTCCTCTGTGCCTGGGACATAGTAAGTGCTTAACAAATGCTTTTCTATGATTATAAAGCACTCTTCAGATGAGAAAAAATAACTTCCAATCAGAAGAAAGGATTTTGAGGTAGAATTTGAACTGGGCCTATGAGATCAGATTTAGATAAAGGGAAGTGGGGGAAACAAGCCTGGGACATAGTAAGTGCTTAACAAATGCTTTTCTATGATTATAAAGCACTCTTCAGATGAGAAAAAATAACTTCCAATCAGAAGAAAGGATTTTGAGGTAGAATTTGAACTGGGCCTATGAGATCAGATTTAGATAAAGGGAAGTGGGGGAAACATAGTATTCAAAGGAAAGGGCGTGTGCCTTCCTGCAGATTCCTGCCCCCGAAGGTCATCCTATGCCCTCCTCTCAACATTTTGTCCCAATTTTTCACTGTTCTAGGTCTCATTCCTTGTTAAACTTGAGAGGGTTTTCCCAAGAGGACCCCCTTCACTCTTCAAGGTTTTAACCATTTATATGATGTATTCATAGTCTCTCTTCTCTTCTTAAACATTTTTCCACTGGAACCTGAGGCTAACCAATGGAAGGATTCAACTATGGGTAGAAATGAGTGAAGTGGATAGAAATATTTCAGTCACGTATCTGTCAGATAAATGAAGGGATAAACACAAAGACACCTGGATTTATTCATTCATTCCTGGACTATCAGAGCTGGAAGGGGCCTTCAATATCTAGTACAATGTTACCCACAATGTGGTGACCATTCCATTGGTAATATCTGGGCTGATTTTATAGAGTATATAAATGAACTTTTTAAAATATTACATAGTTATTAAACATTTCCACATATACTAGAAAAAATGTGCATACATGAATCTGCTGATTATTTTTAAATTTAAGAAGTGATTCAAATGAAAGAAAAAACATCAGTATTAGTACAGGTGCCATATAGTTTGTAGTAAAATAATTAACATTTGAATAGTACTTATCACATGTCAGCCATTATTCTGAGCACCTTACTTTTACTAATTTATTTAATGTTCACAACAGTCCCCATTTGATACATGAGAAAACTGAGGCATTTGACTGAGGTCATACAGCATAGCCAAGTTAGAATTCAGAGAATGTAGGTCCAGAGTCCATAACCACAACATCTACATCAAAAACGTGGCATATAACTAAAGTTTGAGAAATGCTAACATAGTCCACCACCTCCCCACTACTCTCTCCCTCAATAATTTTATAGATTAGTAAACCAAACCTCTGAGAGGTTAGATAACATACTCAAGGTCAACAGGAGCAACAGGAAGTTATTCACACAGCTGGGACTATAATCCAGTATCTCCTCACTCAGATCTGGGGCTCCTACTCCCTTGCAGGGTGCCTCTGAGCACACCTTCTTATTTGATCAGAATGTTTGATACACAGTTTAGAAGGATGAACACATAACATCAGGCTTCATGGGTGTATAACCTGCGCACACAGGCTCTGCACTTGGTTTAAAGATCTGCTGCTGCCTTTTTGAATTTTTAACTTTTTTTTTTAACAAGAAGTTCCATGGTTTCATGTTGCACTGGGACCCACAAATTATGTAGTCGATTCTGCATAAAATCTATGGTTACTGGAGCACCAAAGGCATTTTCCGGAAGTGGTGAGTCCCTTACCTTTGGAGTTAAACAGCCCCAGATTCAAATCACAGCTCTGTGACCTTTGCATCTTGTAAACTTGGGTAGTTCACTCAACTCCTTTGGGCCTCAGTTTACTCATCTGTTAAACTGCAGATAATTCTACCAGTCTTAATCTTGTTGCTATTTGAGGCTTAAATAGGAAAATATTGGGGAAAGCAGTAAAAATTGCTTTTTTTCCTCTTTTCTTTTAAAAATCTAAAATGATTCATTATCTCCTAGACTAGCTATCACCTGCCAGAGTACAGTGTGAACTTGTTCTGATTCAATGCTACCCTCCCAGTTACCAGGCAGAAGAAAACTCCACGAAGGCTTTCTGTAATCTTGCGGATAACACACACTTCAAATTGGTTCCCGAAACTGAATCTCCCTGCCACGGAAAGGTGCCACCATGCAGCCAGGGGCTGGCCAGACAGAGGGCACAGGGGCCTGCAGCTCAACACCCAGTTGCTAACTACTACCTGCTGTGGCATCAGGGTCTTTGAAGGTTGCTACATCACCTAGAACAAAGATTTTCAACCCTAACTCCACAGCAGAATCACTTGAGTTGCTTCTGAAACATTCTATGGCCAGGATTTCCCCACAAAGTTTTTATGATTCAATTGTTCTGTTATGGCCAAGCCACATGTGGGTGTTTCTTAAAGCTTCTTCAGGTAATTTTAATGTGCAGCCAGGTTTACAAAGATCTACAATAGTGGTTTTCAAAGTGTGGTCCCAGACCAGCAGCATCAACAACATGGAACCAGTTAGAAATATGATTTTGGATCCCGTCCCAGACCTACAGAATCAGAATCTCTAAGGGCAGTTTAGGTTTTCACAAGCCCAATAGATGATTCTGATGTATGCTCAGATTTGAGGGCCACTGATCTAGAAAGAAAAATAAAAAGATATTAGCAAGGAAGACAGATAATTTAATTTCAAAAACTCCCTGTTTTTCAACCACAAAATTTTGCATATATGAAATGTATCTATCCCAGAACCATTCTTTTAAAAATCTAAAATGATTCATTATCTCCTAGACTAGCTATCACCTGCCAGAGTACAGTGTGAACTTGTTCTGATTCAATGCTACCCTCCCAGTTACCAGGCAGAAGAAAACTCCATGAAGGCTTTCTGTAATCTTGCGGATAACACACACTTCAAATTGGTTCCCGAAACTGAATCTCCCTGCCACGGAAAGGTGCCACCATGCAGCCAGGGGCTGGCCAGACAGAGGGCACAGGGGCCTGCAGCTCAACACCCAGTTGCTAACTACTACCTGCTGTGGCATCAGGGTCTTTGAAGGTTGCTACATCACCTAGAACAAAGATTTTCAACCCTAACTCCACAGCAGAATCACTTGAGTTGCTTCTGAAACATTCTATGGCCAGGATTTCCCCACAAAGTTTTTATGATTCAATTGTTCTGTTATGGCCAAGCCACATGTGGGTGTTTCTTAAAGCTTCTTCAGGTAATTTTAATGTGCAGCCAGGTTTACAAAGATCTACAATAGTGGTTTTCAAAGTGTGGTCCCAGACCAGCAGCATCAACAACATGGAACCAGTTAGAAATATGATTTTGGATCCCGTCCCAGACCTACAGAATCAGAATCTCTAAGGGCAGTTTAGGTTTTCACAAGCCCAATAGATGATTCTGATGTATGCTCAGATTTGAGGGCCACTGATCTAGAAAGAAAAATAAAAAGATATTAGCAAGGAAGACAGATAATTTAATTTCAAAAACTCCCTGTTTTTCAACCACAAAATTTTGCATATATGAAATGTATCTATCCCAGAACCACAAATTGGCTTATAAAATCTTTAATAATCTTATAGAATAAATGTCCCACCTCTAAACTTCTGAGCCTCCAAAATGTCAGCTTTTTCTTCTTAATATCTCTATTCATAGTATAACTTTCCTGGGGAGAACAATAGAAATATTTTTAAAAGGAGCCTCTTATGAAACATCAGCTACATTTTTAAAAGATTTACATGGTTAAGCTGAGTCATAACTTGATAATCTTCTCAGACACATTTTTCCACCCAACCTTCTCTAAATGAATCTTAATTTCAGCATTTTTGTAACAATGTGTCAAGATGCTTTTGACCTTCAGAAGAGAATGGCTCACAGAGTAAAATGAGGCATAATTCCCAGCAAGATTTCCCTGCATGTTTTGCCTTCAGAAAGAGAAATAAGATAAACAGCC